ATATAATGACGCGAGTACTTTCGCCTCTAGGTCCCAGGGCGGGGATCCGGCCAGGACGCAAGCCGCCTCGTAGGAAATCGTGCGATACCCGCGGACGACTCTGACGGCCATCGCCCTCTGCGGTTTACGCAGAATGGCGAGAGTGCTGGCCGTCATGTCCATCGCCCACACAGGGGCCCCATACAGGGCCATGGACCGCACGATTCCCACGTACAACCGCCTACAGGCGGCGCTCGGGCCCCCCAAGTTGGGAAGCAACGTTGATAGCGCGCCAGCTGCACCCATCAGCTTGGGCGCCAGCCGCCGGAAGTGGGGTCCGAATTCCCATCGGCTGTCGAGCACCAATCCCAGATACTTCATGGTGGACTCGACAGCTATCCGGGCCCCGCTGACCACGATGTGTGAACCCGGCGGCGGCGCGCGTCGAGGGCCATGGAACACCATGGCCTCCGACTTACTTAGGGCCACCTCCAGGCCCAGGCGCCGGATGCGGTTCACCACTTGTGACACCGCAGCCGTGGCAACCAACGCTGCTTCCCTGTACGAACTCCCCCGGGCAGTGACGAGCGTGTCGTCCGCATAACACGTCAAGTCGGCGCCCGACGGTAGTTCACCTCTCAGCACCCAGTCGTAGCCGATGTTCCACAGGAGCGGTCCCAAGACCGATCCCTGCGGAACACCGCACGACATGACGCGCCGACCAGCGCCGTCACGTCCCCAATAGGTAACGCATCTCTCCTCAAGGTAAGCCCCTATTGTGCGGCGGAGGTAGGGAGGCACGCGATGGTAATTCAGCGCCTCCCGAATGCAACTCCAGGGTAGGGTGTTGAAAGCGTTGGAGATGTCTAAGGACACCGCCAGCACCACCCCACCCCGGGATACTGTCTCCTCCGCCAGGGCTCTCACGCGCGTAATAGCGTCTATGGTGGAGCGCCCGCGACGAAAACCAAACTGGTTGTCATCCAGGTCCGGCCCCTCTCTGCACAAGTGGCTGACGAGGCGATCTGCGATGATACGCTCAAAAAGTTTGCCCGCCTCGTCGAGCAGCACTATGGGCCGGTACGCGGACGGTGAGTCCGCGGGGCGCCCCTCCTTCCTGAGCAGGACCAGCCTCCCCTCCTTCCACACACTGGGAAACTGACCCTGCTCGAGACATGCCGTGAAGAGCCCTCTTAGCTGGGGCTCTAGCTCCTTCAGAGCCAGGACTAGAGCTCGACCAGGAACTCCGTCGGGTCCGGGCGCTGTGTTCTTAGCCCGGAGTCGCGACACGGCCACTCTCGTCTCTGCTTGCGTCACCTCGGGGACATCGGTGCTCTCCTCTTCTGGAGAGTCTGTGGCTGAGGGCGAAGCCATCGCCGGGGGAACGTGTCCCACTCGCTCAGGGAAGAGAGTCGATAACACCGACTCTAGCAACTGGGGTTGCATCCTTTGTGTTAGTGGAGGCGCCCAGGGACGCAGCTTGCCCCGAATCCAACGGTAGGGGCGCCCCCACGGATCCCGATCTAGGGACCCCAGCAGCTCCTCCCTGACACGCGACTTTGAGTCGCCGATGGCCAGCCACAGAGTCTCCTTAGACGCGCGGTACACCTCATACAGCGCGTCCTCCTCGGCGGAATCCCGTCGACGCCGCCTCCGGTATCGGGTGTACCGGCGACGAGCCGCAACGCACGCTATGCGCAATTGCGCGATCTCGGCGGTCCACCAGTACACCTGGCGCTTTGCGGACCGTTGGCGGACACGGGGCATTGACGCGTCGCAGATCTGCGTCATCGCCCCGCGAAACCATAGCGCCACCGCTTCGACGTCGACGGGGCCGTCCGTCGTCGACTCCCAGATCCAGGACTGAACTAGGGCAGCTTCCTCGAGTAGTTCCCTGTCGATGCGCTTAAGCGCCCAACGCGGGCCGTCATTAATCGGGGTTGTTGGATGGCGGCCGCTCGCAGTCTGGGCAGAGACGTCGAACCGGATATATCGATGGTCCGACAGCGTCTCCACCTCTGCGGCGACACGCCAGTCGCGGACTCGGCTGGCGACAGAGGGGCTAGCAAACGAGACGTCCACTATTGACCCACCCCGCTGCCGCACGCATGTGTATTCCGAACCCCGATTCAGGACGACCAGACCAGTCGTCACCGTCCACTCTTCTAGCACCTCGCCCCGAGGGTCAGTGACCGGAGATCCCCACGCCGATGACTTGGCGTTGAGATCCCCGAGCACCAGAACGGGACGAGGGTGATAACGGCCTACGACGGCGCCCAACTCGACAAGGAAATCCTCAAAGTCGGCGAGACTCTTGTTGGGGGAGAAATACGCCCCTACAATAACGATGCCGCCCGAGACCGCAGCAACCCAGCCGCGGCCCCGAGACGGGTCGATCAGAGTCTCGCCAATAATGGCCACCAAACCGTCAGCGCATCCCAACCAGTTGTCACGGGCGGGAATGAAGTACGGTTCGGCGACCACAGCCACGTGAATCGACCACTCTGCCATGCTCTGGAGTAGGAGATCCTGAGCTCTGGCACAGTGGTTGATGTTGCCCTGCAGAAAATGGAGAGAATGGAATTGTGCCATTATTGACATTCCATCCCCTCAGCAACGGTCCTGGGCCGGGAGTCGGCCGCGGAGCTGCTAGCCTGCGGGGGCAGCGAGGTTAACCCGGCAGGCTTAGTGCTCCTCTTCTTTCCCTTTTTCTTTTTGGCCTTGCTGGCAGGCGCCCCACAGGCCCCTCCGCCTACTCTGTGCTCTGCAGGCCTTCCCGCAGCAGAACAAAGGCTGCAGTTGAACGCCGCGGTGCACAGGGCCGCCTTGTGGCCAGGCTGGCCGCAGCGAAAACAGAGGTCCGCGCTCACCGTCCTCTTACCTACCGTAAGAGGACGGTGAGCGCGGACCGCTATCGCAATCACACTGGGGCGGCGGCGCTAGCTGCGGCGGGTCGGGCGGGACTGACATTCTATCCCTCGACTGAACCGACCGAGGAATTCCCGTACTGAGACGGGTGCTCGGTCAGCTAGCGGACTCCGCTATCGCACGACCGCACGAGGGCGACGGCGCAAGCGGAATGATATAATGTTTGTCCATAGACATCTGCTTTTATCCTCTATTAAGAATCAAAATGCACACCCATTAAGAACTAAGATGGAGTGCTTCATTTCCAGTAAAAGAGTCTCCGCTTCTCCATATGAAACACAGCGGCATTAAGCTGCTATTTTACTCTGTGAGAGCGTGATCCTTCCCCGATATTCGTGCTACAACTATAAAATAATAAAATATATCTGCAGCGTGACTCTACCAAGTTAAAAGAAAACTCAAATAAATACGAGTAGAAACTTGGTAACAAAATTAACACAGTGGTCTTAATAATTTCTGGGAAATTATTGGTAAATTAAGTTCATAATCCTTTACAAAATAGTCCCCCTGAATGCGATCTAAGGAAGCTAATTCTAGCTCGCAACTAGTTTCATCCCCTTTACATGTACTAGTGAGTTTGCTAACAACTCTAAGTTTGAAAGCTCTGAGAGTATGTAGTTTAATAATTGAGTTCACGGTTCACGGAGCTAAGTTATCACTGATTTTTTAAAGTTTTTATTTTATTTTACATGTATGTATGTCCTGGAATTTTGCAATAAATATTTCACTTATTTTCGCTGAAGCTATCGGAATAAAATTTGGCACATATGTTTGGTTTTTGTGACAATGCACGATTACTTAAATGGTGCTATTTTTAATCCAATATGGCGGACGTTATAAAACAGCGAATTATCATTTACACTGCAACCCCTATGTTATGGATATCAAATGAAAGGGCTTGATGAGTGAAATATTATAAGTAAATTGACGTAATCTAAAAACAAGATGGCGGACGACTATATGTCATAATAATATATGCAATATTATTATGACATATAGTTGATCTAATGATAGAGCTAGAATGTGGCCATGGCTAAAAAGGCGAAAAACAAAATGGCCGCCGTACCAATTTGAAAGAGTTATAATTCGGCAAACGTTAGGGATAGTTTGGTGGTGCTCGAACAAATGTTGTAGGGAACAAGGGTCAACTGCTGGCAATAAAAAATTCAAGACGGCGGATCTAAGTTGGCGATCAAGAACTAAGTTACTCCAATCCGCCTGTGATTTTGTTATCCCGGAATTTTTTGCTTCTCCTACTACAATTTTGGGGTCGAATTGTTCGGGTCAAATTTTGCAACTGAATTTTAAGATTATGCCTGGCGAAGTGACATCGTTTTGAATCCAATATGGTGGACCCCTAAAGATGGAGTACTATGTTTTTTTTCATTCCCTTGATATGTATATCAAATGAACATATGGATTCAAGTGAACCCTTTGAAACAAGTGGAACCCTTTCTTCGCTAAAATAATACGAATAATATGTCGTCCGCATTCAGCTTGTGGCGGGATTTACCTGTGTACATACAAGAATACAACATGTAACTTGATATTGACAAACGTAGGCAATTCTAAGAAAAAAACTTTTTTTATAAAATAGGTAAATCTCGTTACAAGACATTCACAAATTTGTTTTGTTTAATGTAATAAATTGATTGGTTTTATTTAAATATTTTCTTATTTTTAGAGCATTTAGTAAGAGATTTTTTTTAAATTTTTTTTACTCTTAGTTTCTTTATTCTACCTATGTTAATTAAAGTAGTAATACTAGTAATTCTGTTTATTGACAACTATTTGAACTTCATACTAGTCCTGTCTGACGGAGATGGACATCAAGTAGTAAGAAGCACGCGTTGCGTTTTTTTAGCAGGAAAAAAGACTAAGTTATAATGATTTCTTGTATTTACGCTCATACTACATATTACATAAAACGAATTTCACGGATTTTGTCGCGTTTTACTTTAAATCGCAGTATATCTACATTTTCAGTATTATCGAAACCATAACATGAGATTTGATAGACCACCCTAGCAAAAGATCACTGATTCCTACCAAGGAAGATTTAGCAGGCTTCTGTATGCTCGTTCTGCGTGGAACTATGACATTAGGAAGTCAAACAAATCAATACTAACAATAGCTAGCAGCTCTCTATCATACGGGCTATACTTCCTTTGAGCTGTGTTAAACTTTTTGGAGAAGAATGCTAACGGTATCCAGCCTGAGTCAATCTTCTGTTGTAAAACTGCTCCTACAGCACTATCTGATGCGTCGGTAGCAATCGCCAATTCTGTTGTCGGATCGCGATGAGCTAATAAACTGGCATTTGCCAAACTTGCCTTACTTTCTGCGAAACATTGCTCGAGTTTTGGTTTCCAGGTGATGAGCGTAGATGGCTTTACATTTTCTCCCATTAATAGAAGATGCAGTGGCGTCTGTACTTGAACAGCGTTTGGTATGAATCGCCGATAAAAATTCAATATACCAAGATATCTTCTGAGCTGTCGTACAGTTTTGGGTAATGGAAAATTTAAAATTGCACTGACCTTTTCTTTTATGGGCCTTGTACCTTCTGCTGAGACCATGAAGCCTAAAAATTTGTCTCAGCAGAAGTCAAGCAACCAAAACATCGGAAATTAAAATTTTAAAACTAAACTTGAATAAATCCGTAAAATGAGTTTTTTTTTAAGAGAATGAGTTGTCCTCTCCTGAATATTCCTATGTCCCTTTTGGCATGTGGAAAAGTTGGAATAATATTGGGCTATATTTGTGTGTGTGTGTGTGTGTGTGTGTGTGTGTGTGTGTGTGTGTGTGTGTGTGTGTGTGTGTTTGTTTTCCAGCTAACTCAGTAACTAGTGCTCACCATCAATGTCACAAATCTCTGTCAACCCAGGTTCAATTGTCACCGAAAGTTGGTAACTGAAATTTTAAGTGCAGTATTGCCACTTGCTTGATAGGAGGGAAAATATCGTCAGAAACCTAAATGTTTGCGGAATAATTTGGAGTATATATAAAATCTGTTAAAATGCACTGGAGCAGCGAGGCGGATTTACTCCACAAACTTCTGTAACTTTGGGAAGAAATTGTACCCAGCAGTGGAACGTATGTAGAATGTAACTTAAAGAAAACTTTAATAATAAATTAAATTAACAATAATTTTCAAAAACTATCCTTTCTAACATCCACAACCGATAGCAAATAAAGGGTCAAGAGTGGCAGCCTCATACTGGTAAGTGAACTATAGTGCGGCCACCCACCAAATGGAGTGACATGACATCACTTCATAAAGAAGAGACGTAATAGATGCATGATATAAGAGATGCAGGAAGTCAATGGATGCAGGTGGTTCAGGATGTGTTTATGGCATTCCATAGAGGAGGCTTGAACATAAGCAGTGGTCTTGTGACTGGCTGTAATAATAATAAAATCCTTCTTAAAAATTACATAAGGTGTCTATTACATTAGGTATTGAATCTTTTTTTCATAGTAAAAACAGGCAAGTGGAGGCAGCGTAAGATAATCCAATACCCAATTAATTCCCTCCTTTTGTTGACAATGATAAATGCTATTAGTACGGGAAGGGAAGACTCTTGACTTTCGATGAAATTCGGTATAACCGTCTTCTTTACGAAACACTTAAAAACCTAGACCCAGACTGAAAACAGGAAGCGGCGCCAAAGGTGCGAGACGTATGCTACTGCAATCGTATCTACCTCCTGCCAAGCGTGACAATAGAAGAGTTTTTATTTTATTTTATAGAATAAGGGTGACAAGCGAGCTAACAGTCCACCTGATGATATCTACATCTATCCTCTATTAGGAATTTAAATGCAGATGTGTTGTCTTGCATGCAGATGAATACTTTGGCGGAAAGCTTCGTTTCTAGTAAAAGGTGTCTCTGGTTTTTTACTCACACCATACGAAACACAGCAACATTAAACTGCTATTTCACATTCGTATTCTCTGATAGTTTTATTTTAACCCGGTCGAGTCGACTCGTTAGTGCTACAACCATAATTTAGCTGCAGCGTGGCTCTACCACGTTAAAATCACACCAGCAATCAAAGAATCATAACGAGCATTCGAATGTATAGAGCTGTTGAAGATAAATAATAGTCTCAGTAAAGAACTAAGAACTTGCTTCGCATACCGTCTGCAGCTAACATTTGTAAATGAGTATGAATGTAATTTATTGTCTTAAAGGCCTAATGAGTTTAATCTATTACATTGACTTTTGGAAGGAACTTTTAAAGGACCAATTCCTTAAGAAAGTGTTACAGACTAATTACTTTTTCAAACTTTAGTAGTAAAGTATCAGAAACTCGCTAGACGTCTCTAGCTCAAAAGTATTGGGGTAAACTTTAGATGAAGGAATGTAATTAGGAATGGTTTTGTGAAAAATAAAACTTGGTAGATTGTTATTTTATCATTATTATTATTTTCATAATCAAGCAAATACCGTGTGTTAATTTTACACTTGATCAAACGAAATGTGCGGATACTAGATAAAAAATTATCGGTAAAAAACTAAAATTTTTTTTATATAAACTATTTAAAAAATAAAAGCATTTTAATTTTTTTTTGGTAAAATTCCCATCCTTCGGTTTTAAATTATTTTCTCTTTAAGTTAAAGGTGTATTTTTTTCAAAGTAGTTTTATTTGAAAGTTAGAAAGATTAACTACCAATAAAAATTAAAAAAACCTACCATATCATCTAATCTTTCTAATAATTTTTTATCTCTTATCAAATAATTTTTTATCTAGTATCCGCACATTTCGTTTGATCAAGTGTAAAATTAACACATAAGAATGTTTCGATGCGTTTGCCTAGTATACTAGTTCGCGATGAAGCAAATGCAGATGCGATGTCACCCATGAATACTAAGATAAATTGCCTCGTTTTCAGTAATCATCGTCTCCGGTTTCTACAATTACCATACGATGCATAAAAACATAAAACTGCTGGTATTCTGTGAGAGCGTGGTCCTTTCCCGGTCGTGCTGGCCCATTCGTACCGACCTATTCGTACTACAACCATAATAACAACCTTATAGCTACAGCGTGACTCGTAGTGGTGGCGCAAAATATCCCCTCCCACATACTATTAACAGGTAAGAAGAAAGAGAGGGAAACTGAAGCAGAAGATGGGCAGCAACATCTTTCTGATAACATCTGAGAATAACAAAACTTATGTTGCCTAAACTTGAGCATGCCAAGCGTGGAAACTATGGCAAAATAACTTCTATCAGGCTTTTTATGAGGGAGGTTTTTTTCAGTTGTGGAATTTAGATTAAATTTAATGATAAAGCCTTTGTTTTTGCCACTGCTTCACACATGCCTCCTCTCATTTCTGAGTGTTTTAGGATAAGAAAATGGTGCCCCAATGCATTATTTACATATTAGTATTTACAGACAGATTTAGACGTCTGAAGATATTTATTTAACTATTGTTACAGCCTGAAGATAACTTCTAAATAATTCGATTGGTTATATCTTTTAAATGAACTACAAATTCACGTAAAAATTAATTGTTCCAATGTAAATATACATACCACAGTTAAAATTTACTTTACGAGTCCCAAGTGCGGTTTTAATTTAGACAATGAACATTATTAAAGGCTAGGTTATATATTATTTAATGTTTGATTCTTATGCGAATATAAATTATTTTATAAAATATTTAACTGCGTCTACTGATAATACACATTTGGGAATAGCGTCGTAATCACGTTAGACTGTAAGTTGGTAGAAATTCGGTTTAATATATCAGTATATCTATTCGGTAGCTTTTGAGGTTTTTTTTTTGTGTGGTGGTGTTAGAAAATCCACTACCACATATCGCGCCATAGGTGTCGTAAGAGGTGAAAGAGTGGACTGGAGTAGAATATCGACTGCAGCATATTTCTAATGACAACGCAAAATTATAAAACTGCCGTTGCTAACCCGCCTGTCAAGCGTGGCAACTATGGCAAAATTTACCCCACGAAGCAATATGCGTGTGAGGCCTATATTCAACTGTGCTGGTACTGCTGATTTTTGTAAGCTGTAATGGGTGAAATGTATGGAAAAGCCCTGCCAACTGCTATAAATAAACCTCAACTGCAAACTGCAGTTGTCCATGGACTGCAGTAACCTCTTATCATCAAATTAATAATTCACTTTTTTGAGTGGACTATACATCATAAGCTCGAATCTCGCCTTCTAAGTAGTTATATTAAAACTCATCCACTATTTTTGAAGTAAAACGTTTTTACGGGAGGGCTATGATATTCTGATCCGCAATACTTTTTTGTGACGATAAGTGGTGGGATGTAAAAACTACGTACGTAATTAAGATCGACTGGTTGATCATTCAAAAATGAAAATCGCCAATGCAGGCCATTACCTATAATAAAGTATATAGTAATACAATAACAATTACAAATACTAATCTATTAATTTTATTCAAGACAATAAGGTACATGTATTTATTTTAGAAAGAGTGACCGCCTTGAAGTAATAGCGCCATTTACTGCATTTTCTACGTACCACCATGATAGTTAATCAATTTTGGTTCGATAAAATGACATTACTTATAGAATGTAGTAGATGGCGCTATTATAAAATGAACAAGGGTGTAATTTTTAGAGCCCGATAAGGCAAAGCAGTGTTTATTTCGACTATCATTACATACAATAATTTAAAATTAAAATTTTGTACAGCCAACTTCAATATAAGCGACTTCAATATAAGTTATTTAAGAATAACTCAATAACCATTGGTCTGACCTTGATCAAATTCATATGGGACCACACGAGAACTATCAGCTTTCATATAAAAAATCAAGATCAGGATCAAGAATCATCGAAATCGGTTCCCCCACTACAAAGTTATGAGGTAACACACTTAAAAAAAAACATACACTCGAATTGAGTACCGTCTCCTTTTTGGAAGTCGGCAGAAAAAGAACATAATAGTCGAACTGAAAACGGGTGTAAATAACTACAAATTCAAATTATTTCTTCAAACGATACCAGCATAGCGAATATCCAAAATATATTAAATCTAATTATTGTTTTACCTCAAATGTGTACTCGTATCATATCATAGGCAAAACATTTTTTATGTGGTAGAGCCATGCTGCAGCTATATTAGTAGTATTGTTGTGGCACGAATGGGTCGGCTCGACCGGGGAAGGACCACGCTCTCACAGAATACCAGCGTAAAATAGCAGTGTTAATGTGAGTATAGAGAACCGGATACCCTTTTTATTGGAAATGAGGCATACTATCTTAGTCCTCACGGGTGACAATGCATCTGCATTAAGATTTGTAATAGAGGATAGGTGTAGATGTATATGAGCCGCAGCAACCACTTACCATCAGATGGACTGTGTACTGGTTTGTCACCCTTATCCTATAAAAAATATCGACTGAATGACAAATGAAATTTAATCAACTTTTAAAAGGGACACAACATCCACTCATACAAGTGCACATAGTTTTATTTATAAATGTACACGCTTGCTGTGTGATTGTATAGTTCTAGTAGGAATCCATTACCGCTGGAAATCACTCCGCAACTGCGTTATGTGGTTAAGTGGTCG